TTCAGGTCGTCACCAGGCTTCAGGTCTTCAAGGCTTCAGGTCGTCACTAGGCTTCAGGTCGTCAGCAGGGTTTCAAGGCTTCAAGGCTTCATGTCTTCAGAGGAAAGTCACCCGGGATTGCCAGCACACTGAGCGATTGTTCTTCCCCCTTACTTCATCATGCCCAGTTCCTCTTGATGGCCTCCAACCTAGCGATGGCCTCCAAAGTGTTGACCTGAAGGGGATCTTGAAATGGAAAACTTTGCAGTTGACCTCTCTCTGGCAGGGCTTATTCGTCCATCGCATGCAATGCCTGTCAGGCTTTCCCCACCAGCGAGTTGGGATCCCCACGTCTTGTGTCAGCTTGGCTTCCTCTTCCAGCGCAATATTTGCAGCAGCCCGTCAGCTTTGAGAAAAGGACAAACCTTGCCGCCAGTGTTGCAGGCGGTGTTGCACTTGAATTGCTTGGCCCTCGTGCATCGCGCCATCAAACCCAAAAAGTTTTTCGGGGACAGGCACTGAACAAGGCTTTCTCAATGCTGTGCCCGCCGATAACCTATGCAACGCCAGACGGACATTTAACGCCTTAAGAGTTCAAAGTTATTCCGAGAATGGTCAATGATTTAGAAGACCCAAAAACACCAAAGTTCAGGCCTTCAAGCCAAAGGGCCAAGTGCCAACCCCAGCAAGGCCGACAAGGTCTTTTTGAACCAATGCCACGCCCCAAAAGCGTCCGTGCCCCCCAGTTCCTCTGCGGTTGCTGTGCTGGCTACTCAAACATGTGTCCTAATGCATGGCACCATGCTGGCCCGCTAGCGGGCCTTTTCGGCCGAACTCGGCAAGTTTGCTCTGATGTTTTTCCTCCCTCTTGATCTCTCATGTCAGCCATGGCACTTGTCACCACCAAATATGCACCAAACCCACCTCGTGTCAGCTTGGTGCGGCTTAGCTCAGCTCACCACCCATTGATGCCTCGCATTATCATCAAATCTCAGTTAGGACAGATTCTACGCTGCAAGTGCAATTTAATGAACGCAAGATTCTCAAGGACGCGTAGCTAACAAAAGGGCCAAAAACGGTCCCTGGAACTGCTCCAAGGCCATTCCTGAGAGCTTTCGTGGTTTCTGAATTTGCACTTTGCTTGGGCAGATGGTTGGAAACAGATGGTTCCCACGCATTCAGCTGCAACCTCCAACTGTACTTTAAACCACTGTGCACTCGCAGGTGGGCAGCTGCACTTTCTGTGTTGACATCAGCCTGCCAGGCATTTCTCAAGAGAGAAACCGGCACGAAGGATTCTTGGCAAGTTTTTGGCGCTAGTGATGCACAACCAATAAGTAGCAACCCTGTGTGGTTTCTTAGAGCGGACATGGAACAACATGAGCAGAGGACATGACTGCATGGACAGGCAACTTTGCAGCCAGACACCGCTTGCTTCAATGGTGCGATCAGTTCATGTGGGAAAAGCAGCGCGTGGCAATTTGCAATCGCCTTGCTATCAAGAATGTGTGGGGCTTAGATGAAAAGCTGTGGTCGCGAGTGTGCAGTTGTAGAGATCGGACTGGCAGCTAGTGCGTGAAAGGACACACCGAGATGGCATTACATACAATGCCATTCTGGCAGCTCTAAGCAAAGGCGGGGCCACGACATCCAAAAATGGGCGAGGGGAATGCACAGTGTTCTGGCTGTGTTTATCCAACAAGTAGACCCACATGTGTTACCAATGCTTTTGGCTTGGCTGTTTGGAGGCAGTGTTTGGCGGCAAGCCGTTCGAATTTTCCATATGTCTCAGCTCCTGGACATTCCAAAGATCTGTGCAGGCGGTATGGCAACTGTGATCTTGGTACATCCTGGTACCTATTGGTGATGCATTCTTGATTCTTGATACGGTGCCTGTTTCGTGTTCGTTGCTTGTGCCTTGAGGATGGACATAGTATCTTTCAGTGCTGCGATTTCTTCCTGTGTCCGAGAAGGCTGGGAATCCAATGGGGGCACTAACCCTAAACAATGCAAAGCATCAGAATTCGAAGACTATATATATAATTTATATTAATTTATATATAACATGTATATTTTTATGTAGAATGACAAGGTAAACAGATGAACAAAGGAAAACCAGGCCCTCTTAAATGGGACACATGCACCTTGACTTTTTTTGTTCTTCTTTCTGTCTATTTTAGGGTCAGGCAGCACCAGGTCTGGATTGCAGTCTTTGTCGAAGCCTGTTCAGCTGTCGCCAAGCCAAAAAATCGGCATGTAGCTGGTATGCCCGAGGGTTGAGTTGCGAGATTTGAAAACCCAAATTCTGTGGCATCACCCTTCTAAATTTGTTTTGTTTGACCTTTTATGTTCAGATGTGCTTTGCTGCCAGGCGAGTGGCAACAAGCATTGTTGCTTTTGTGCGAGATGCAGCGGGCGAGAGTTTCGTTGAACACTTGGACAGCCAATGAAGTGATGGCCTCCTTCGCAAAGGCGAAGACATCGGTAAACCGGTAAGCCCAAAACCTTTACTCCACCTTTCAATCAAATTGATGCAGATGTGTCATGAAGTGCTTCATGACGAGGCAGTAAAATGGCAGCTAGCAATTCAAATCTTCACCGTGGAGCCAAACTTATCCAGCGTGGCGCCCAAATTCCCTGGAACCTTCTTGTGAATTCTTCACAAGGAATAATTTTCTGTGTGTAGTGTGTGGTTGTACTCACACCTTCGCCGCCTGCATGGAAAGCATTCGTGCTCCCTTTCGACTACGCTGGTACCTGTCTTAGGCGTGTTGCACTTAATAATCGGCAAGTGCCAACATGCACACGCTTTCAATAATGCAATTCCTTTCGGGCAACATAATTAACACTATTATAATTTTATAGTTTCTCTTTCAGAACAGCCGCAGGGCAAGAGCACACGATGTCAATAGTGCGTTGTCATTTGGGCAGCACAACTAACATTTTTAATGATTTATTCGTTTTCATCGGCTTTAAACATGCATAAAAAACAGTACGTTCTAGAGCAAAAGAGCACCTTCAAGCTAAAGCTTAATAAGCGATCTAGCAATTATAGTTCTTTACGCGAACTGAGATGCATTTGTGCCTGCGCACAATTTATCATGAACAGGTGCATGCAATGCAGAGATCGGTCTTTCTTGAACAACCGGTTTGAGAGAGTGTACCCTCGCTCCGGAAGGGGGGATGCAAGGGATCCAGTATAGACAACATTCTTGTCACAACTGGGCGGGCAAATTAGCCCAAGAGCAAAGGCTGGCATAGTCCCGAGTCACTATGTTGAAGCGCGACGCGCACAGAAAAAGCATAGCCTGGAGTGTAGAAAGGCATTGGACCACTCAAAACTTGCAGCACTTAATTTTGTTCAGCTGAGGGGTTGCATGTGATACTTAGTTTTGTTTCTTATGACATGGAACGTGCGTCCGAAGGAGTCTATTCCAGTTTGCGTGCCGATTTGTTCTGACCAACTAGTCCTTTCACCACAATCTCACTGCAGAATGCAGAACCAGGTCAAAAAATGTGGTCAATGCTTCTGGAACGCGCTGGCCAGAACTTCGTCGGAGTTCAAGGAGCTGGCTTTGGATGCTTTGGGTGATGGGGAGGGCTCGGTTTCGCTTCATTTAGGCCTGTGCCTGTATTTGATCCCACTTAGGGCCCAGGAGAGAGGGAAAGAATGAGACTAGGTTGTCCAATTTTATGAGGATGGCAAGATGAGACACTAACCTGGACGCTTGGGCCACTCGTGTTTTTATTTAAGAAACAAATCACAGAATTTGGATCCTACCGGCGCTACCGGCGGCAGTTTTTGTTCCGCTCTTTGGTCCAACTAAGGCGTGGGTATCAGGAGGAAAGTAATGCATGCGTATCGAAGGTATCCTGGTAATGACGAGGTTGAACCTCCGCGCTATAGACTTGGGTCTTGGTCACTACTACCGCTATATTGTTTTCCTTTTTCTTAAGTTTAGACTTCTATACTTTTTTTCTTTCTTTCTTCTTTTCTTCAGGTTTTTCTTGAGCATTTCTCTTTTCCAGGAGCGCGTGCGAGATCTCAGGCCGAGCTGCACGACCGTGACCCTTCAGTTTCGGTCAAACGGCGCAGGCGCTGACGCGGTGGACCCTGGTGCTGATATCACAAGTTCATCGCCATGTCGTTGCAGCCCGGCAGTGCCGAACATGATGATGCCACTTTTACAAGCACATGCCTCACATATTCTTGAACTTCTTGTGCATTTCAGACAGTCCATGATGCACATAATGCTAGCCAGATGACAATACACAAGGAACATCACAAGCACTCATACTTGTAAGCTTAGTGACACGACCGTAGTGGCTCCTATCTAGGCTGTTTTTATCGACCGCTAGGTGTCTTGTGAGGTTTTCGGTTTGGGCTCAACTGCCCCTAAGCACCTGAAGCGTAGACCAGTTCATATCCATTTCTATTGCCCTTGGCAGTCGGGGTTTGGAAGAATCTTTCCCGAGTATGCATTCGCTCGTCTCTCGTGATCGTGGGTGTTATAGCGCTATGCCGCCTGTTTCGCTTGTAAATGTTTGCCAAGGACTTCGAGAGTTTGGATGCTATTTGGCAATCTGAGCAGGTCCGCACCGCTGTGGAGCAGGAATGCGGCTTTTTTAAGAGTGGACATGCTGTTGGCCCAGGAGCCAGCTGATAGAGGAAAAGATGGGTCCACTATTCAAAGTTGTGGAGGGAGATGCTAGCAGATGGAGAGATGTATATACAAATAGATACATTACACACACACACACTATATATATAGTAGGTATATTCACACACATATATATATATATATGCGTGTGTGTGTGTGTATGCAAACAAATCATTTGGTATCTATCATTCACATCAAAAAAGCGACCGCTGTGGAGTTGCTTTGTTTCAATGTATTGTTGGGAAACTGCAGCATCCTGAATAAGGACTAAGATCAGTTCGCCACTTCAAAGTCGCTGCAGTCGGACTAGGCCTGTCCACAGGTGGAACCGTCTAATTTTTAACTTGTTCTTGAACAGAGAATCTTTTGTTGCCGCAGGCCAAATCACCATTTGATTTTGGATATGTGACATGTTGCGCTGCCATGCCTTCTCGTATTGCATTCCTGCACGCATGTTGCTCATCTCCTGATTCTTGTCCGTGCACCTCGGAATCCTTCAACCTGCGGTCAGCATTATCTCCTCTCAACTTGATTGCCCTAAGTTGTGTCACTGCTGCTCGTCACACATGATTTCATGTCAAACCTCAACTCCTTCCACTTCATCCATCCTCTCTTCTCGAATTTCTTGTTTGTCTTCTTGTAGCACCTCTCCTTCCCTCACCCTTCCCCTTCTGTTCGCATGCATTACCACCAATCTTCGCGGTGCCATGTGGTACCCGAAGACTCAGCTTGGAACGCAGCAAGAACCACACATTTCCCTTTGTGCTATGCGTATGTTGAGTTTCTGGCTCGCGAGACGCACGGAAGACCATGGTAAGACGTGAAGAATCAACTGGCATCCTAACCATCAAAAGAGCCTTTGTTTGCAGCTGGTTGTCTCGACCGAGCGAAGAATGTTTCAATGTTGAAGCATGTGGGGGTATGATTGAGCATGTAGGATTGAGAAAAGGGACCAGCTACATCCAGAAGAGCACCTTTCCCAAACTGGTGTTGACACTCCAGACAAGAATTGGACACCATGATGAGACTGTGGAGCAGAGCTCAGTTCTGAGTACTGCACGCCGCACAGGGAATCGCCGTGTTTGGATTGGCTCGCTCGGTAGCTACAGCGACCAAATTTATTTGCTTGTTAATGTCTTTGATGCAGCACTTTGGCACAAGTCCGGGGCTCATGGGCACTTGGCATTGCCACCCTCCCAGAAACTTGGATAAAATGTGCCCGACGGCCCGACGCCCAGGCAAGTCTTTGCACAGAAGCACTGAGAAGCCGAGGCGACATATGGATGGCGGGTTAGGAGATGGACCATGTGGAGGGCCAATAGGCGTGGACAGACGAGTGGTCAACTCAAGCTCGCCTGTGGTTTGAATGTGCCAGTGGGTTGCAATTCTGAACAATGGAAGAGCATTGAGAAACCACATAACAACATGGCAAGTCAGCAGCAGGCAGAGACTCCCTATGCACCATGTCACCACGAGTCCCTAGTGATCTATGGCATTGTGTACATGTTGCAATTGTTTGCACTGTTTGTGCTTTCTTTGCGAGGCTCTGAAAGCCCAAGCATGACGAGCAAAGGCAATGGGAAATGCATTGGCATGGGGAACGGTTGCGGCATGGGAGGAATGTGTGGTGGCATGGGTGGAATGGGTATGGGAGGGATGGGAGGCATGGGCAACATGGGCAACATGAGCAACAGCATGGGCAACATGGGGATGGGGAAGGGTGGGATGGGAAGCATGGGAAGCATGCAGATGGGCAACATGGGCAACATGGGCAACATGCCCATGGGGAATATGGGCATGGGTGGAGTTTCTGGCATGTTTTTCAACCGTATGACGTATGCAATTTGAAAATGCCATTACGTGTCTTTCCTGTTGCGGGTTGCCGCGCGCCAGGTGGATGTTTGCCTGGCAACATGCCTGGAGGCAACATGGGTGGAATGGGCATGGGAATGGGCATGCCCGGAAACATGGGTGGCAACATGGCCGGCGGAAACATGGCTGGCGGCAGCATGGCCGGCAACATGGCCGGCGGCAACATGGCCGGTGGCAGCATGGCTGGCGGCAACATGGCTGGCGGCAACATGGCCGGCGGAAACATGGCCGGTGGAAACATGGCCGGTGGCATGGGTGGCGTTCAGGCTTGGACATTCGGAATCAGATGAGAGAATTAGGTCGGATAGTTTTGACACCTGTCAGGGCAACAACATGGGTGGCAGCATGGGGAATGGCAACATGATGGGTGGCATGAACCCCATGATGGTGGCGACCTTGGGAATCGTACAGTCTGCCTCAGTGTGCTGTGATTGACGGAGGCAGGTCAGGTCTTGCTCAAACTCACCAACATCATGCTTGATGTTGCTGAGGCAATGATGGGCATGATGATGGGGATGCAGGCTGCGATGCAGACTGGCAGTGAAGCTGCTGCCGATGCAACTCCAACCATCAAGTCCGAAGATAAGCATGCCACCTGTCATAAAGTCCAATTGACACCAAGTGAAGCTGAAGCTCTTGTGCTTCTTTTTCTTCTTCTTCTCTTTTTTGGGGGGGCTGCGTTTGCAAGACGGAGGGTTGGGCAGCTCGTTTTAATCTCCTTTGCCTTTGCTTAGCTCACTCAGGTAGATCCTCGAGTCAAAGCAATATGCAATGACTTTGGCATTAGCGGTGACACGGTCATGAGGCACGCGGTAATGACACGTGATGTGTGTGACGCACAGTGTTTGGTTCACGCAGCTTGGTGCAGGCTGAATGATGCCATGAGGGAACGAGAAGACTACGATGAGGATTTGCAAGCCCTCCACAAACTGATGGAGCGAGCCACGAAGGAGTCTTGTCAGTTTCGCAAACGCCTTTGTTTTGCTTTGCCCCGGAGGCCAGGCGGTATGTAGACATACTTTGTTGATACAGTTGGCAAAAGAAGTGTCGTGCTTCCAAGAGTTCCTTGTGCATTGAGGATGGCAAGAAGCCTCTTGAAGTGATGCTTGCCCAGATTCGTGCCATACGTGCAAACCGGTTTCCTGGGAAGGACGGAGCGAGGGGATGCTTTTAAAACCTACCGCCTTCGCGGCCCTCGACCTTCAGGAGTTGTAGCGTTCTTTGCTCCTAGTAAGAATGCTCCTAGTAGTACGGCCAGGAGCCCCTAATAGCGTCCTTGCTCCTAGTACCGATGCCAGGAGCCCCTAGTAGCGAACCTTGTTACCACCGCCTTCGTCAGGAGTTGCTGGATCCTGACATTTGGGAGTTCATTGTGAAGTACAATTTAGATGACCGTGTCATGAATCGCCTCATTGAGACGCTGAACAAGCGGAGGGGCAAAAGCAAAGAGACCCTGGAGGCGAAATCGGATGAAACCGAGATCAGTTTTTGTGAAATCAAAGAACACAAAGATCAAACTCGAGTGTCATTTTGTGTCAGGCATTGAATGACCGCTTAGGGAACGCTCAGCAGCCTACAGGCCTTGGGCTTTTGGTCTTGGCCTTGGTTTGAGCCGAGTAAATCACGCCTTGCGTTCCCGAAGTCCGTCCGTGAGGTCCGGCTGCTTGAGGGCCTAGACGAGCTCCACTCTCAGATCTCTGCGGTGACAAGTCGTTGTGAGACCTGTCACTCCATGCATTTGAATGTCAAGGACGGGTAGATTACCCTCGCCACCCAGACGCTTGGGTGGTTCGGGTACATTCCGTCTTGGCCCCAGCATGTGCAAATCACTGCCCATGAGCCTCACAAGGCTCACCAGTCTCACCAGTGCAAGACGCCTCTGAGGGCCGACTGGAACATTCTTGCACCCAGCTGCATCGTGCAACTCCAAGTTGACACCAAACACGGTGTAGTACACGTGCAAAAAATCATGGAAATCATGCGCGTACGTGTTTCAAAACTGTCGCAGCATACTTACAGGTCGCGGGAGGCTCGTGAAGCCCGGGAAAGAGAGCAGGAAAGAAGTGAGGCACTTGGTACAAGGCTGTCCGTTTGAGAATTCACGGCTTTGCAATATGTATCGATTCATGCTTGGATGTTGCGAGTTTGTGTGGTGGCTGCTTTCGTATTGGAATCCCAACTTCTGGTTGTCACAGACGATGTCAGAAACACAGGGAGAACTATATACATATCAGATGGCCTTCAACCCTCTCAACTCAACTACACCATGGTACTCGCAAGAACGCAGTGTTTCCCGTTTGGAGAACTCGGCCAACTTGGCCTCAGGGCCAACATGGCCCGTGTTCTGCCAGAGCCCACACGTGCCAAACTTGCCCACGATGCACGTGTTCCGACCCTCAAGTCCCAATTCCTGCCACGGTCCCTTCTCCTCGGTTGTTTTGAACAGTGGGACGATTAATTAAGCAAGGCAATTTTGAACGAGCAAATGCATATTGAACAACAGGAAAAGAAAAGACAAGAAAAGGAAGGAAACGGAAACAGAAACGGAAAAGGAAAAGGAAAGGAAAGGGAAGGAAAGGAGCCGAAAGGGAAGGGAAGGGGAAGGAAAGGAAATAACAGAAAGACAGGTTTACAGGTGTCCCTGCGGCTCAGTGACGAGTCATGCCCGCGAGAGAGAGAGAGAGAGTGGGTCCCTGTGGGATGGCTGATGGGCAGCCAGACTTGGGAGAGAGAGAGAGGTCTAAATCAAGAAAAGGTCCTAGTAGATTCCTTTGCTTGTAATTACAATTCTAATTAAATTACACTTAAATTAGTAAGCTTTTTGTTACTACTAGTAAGGCACCTGTTACTACTAGCGAGGCACCTGTTACTAGGTAAATCAAGAGAGGAAAGAAAGGCACTGCTTGCACAGCGAAGTCGGTGGTGGCCACACTTCCCGCAAGAAAGGGCCTCAGGTCTAGAATGCAACGATTCCTTGCTTTAGACCACTTAGCAGTTGACTTCTTCTTCTTCTTCTTCTGTAGCTTCTTGTTACTAGTAGTGATGCCCTTTGCTACTATTATCTTCTTGCTCCTAGTAGTAAGGCCAGGAGGCCCTAGTAGCATCCTTGCTCCTAGTAGCGATGCCAGGAGACCCTAGTAGCATCCTTTCTTGCTCCGTCTTTTTCCCAATTGCTCGTCGAAATCCAAGGCAGAGGTCGCCAGTCTGAGCGGCGTTCACGGTCTCGGGGCCGTGAGGCGCGACGGTCACGATCGCGGCGCCGGTAAGACTACCTGCGCTCGGTGAAAATAGCGCGAAGCTTTTGGGAAGCTGCCTTCCCACGTTTTGACCAGAGTTTCGCATTTTCTGCTGCGAGACTATGTTAAAGACTAGACATGCAAGTCTTCATGTCATTGCCATGAACGTTTTGGCCTAGGATTTTGGCAGCAAACCGGAGGCCGGCAATCTTGTTATGCAGTGGTTGGCGGGCTGAGCACACAGAGTTCAAACTGCTTCAGCTCTTATGCTGGCTTTGCGGCGACCGTGCCATTGTCATCGAAGATGTCAGTGGGTAATAACATGACTTGGTTTGGGCTCCTTGCTTTGCCTTGTGTCTGGTGGACACAGTAGATAAGATTTTTTTGCGACCTTTGCCAAGTCGAGCCCGTTCAATTGAGGCATAGTGGATACAGCTTTTGTGAACCTTCTGTGAGGTGGCGACGCAAGAAGTGCAAATCACGAGTAGAAATGAAGTCTCTTGCTCACGAGACTTGAAATTTTGGAGTCTGAATCAGTCTCAACCTGTTGGGTCAAATGCTAAGATTGTTCGTTTGGTTTGGAGACTTCACACCCGTATTTGGCACGATGCACTGCACATTTTTTTGCTACAAACATGGGCGGTTGCCTTGCGGTTGCTTTTGCATGCATTGACTCCAAGAATTAGCAAGTTTGCAAATTGAACAAGCACATCCTGAGTTCATGTGCGCATATTCCTGGCTCAGCTTATTATTGTTGTGGCCCCACTTACGAGCCCAGCCTGGTGTGCGCCATGCCCCGGCAGCATACGACTTAGAACAGATTGCCTGCAACATGTCATTGGCGTTTCAAAGCCCTTGAGTTGACCTTTCGGCAACCCCTTAGTAGCAATTCTAGACATTTGTCTCCCAGTCTGGGCTACTGTGCCTGCCTTTTGGCAACTCCTTAGTATTTGTATATATGTAGCAATTCTTTACATTTGTCTGTCTCCCAATCTGGGCTGGTGTGACCACCTTCCAATGGTGATTTTTCGAGATGCAGGCTTATGGGGGGTCAACTGTTTGGGGTCTACGGTGGTGTAATTTTGATCTGAATTTATGCTTGAAATAATAAAGCAAGAAATGGTTTGAACAGGAACGACCTGGTTCTTTTTTGCTTACCGGCCGTGTGAGCACAGGTTTGAGAACTGAGGTTTCGACTGTCTGCAGCTTCGGCCTACAGCATCTATGAGATGTCTTCCCGCCTCTGCTTCTGATCATGGCAGCTAGTACAGTGTACTAGTCCAGCGCACTAGTCCAGCCGCCACGTTGTCAGGTACTCCCAAGATTGGTGTGCTATTGACGATGCTTTGGACGGAGCCTTGATGTTTGGACAGAGCGTCATTTTCAGAGCTGGTGTGGAAGCAACACTGGCCACAAGGAGTCTGATTCGAAAAATGTAGCTTGAGGACCGGACTTGATACGTGGCCCGGTTCTGCAGAATACATATAATATCATATATTTATATATTTACACATAGATACAGACATTTGCGCATACAATAAAAATTTGCACAAAAGATGCAGTAGAAAAAAAACAGGACAACTAGAACAGGAGGACAGCAGGAGAGTGCACACGCACAGGCATCCCTGCTTCACTCTTTCCAGCTTCTTGGGCCATCGTTACTAGTTAAGTTTCCAAAAAAATATTGGAACCAAATCATTAGTGCTTGAGCTATCCTGCGTCCTGCCGGTAGTAGCTTACTACTAGCTACCGTTTGCTTCTACGAGCTACCTAGCTAACCTACCTCTACTTGCGGCCGACCCCCCCCAAAAAAATAAATACACATAAAAGAAAAACACTTGTATTCTTTTTTTCACTCTTTCCTGTTTCCAGACCGAGGTGGAGACGGAAACTATGTGCCCCGAGTGCTGCACTAATGGAAGTTTGGCACAAAAGTGACAAGTGAAGCAAAAGGAGAAACAACACATGTTCTGAGTCTAAAGGAAAGAACTAAATCAAGAAAAAGGAAAGGTCTAGAGGTAAAAAAACATAAGCGACAGGAAAAGCTGACTCAAACCACTTGAACTTGGAATGCCTGGCCTCCTTGGCTCTTCCAGGTGTCACTTCTTTCAATCCCACATACAAAAAGCATCAAAAAAACATTTCAACCAAACACCAATACCAAAGCATTCCTTAGGAACTTGGATGTTCATGGAACACCGTCCCCGAAGTGTAGATTCTTTGTCGGTGCCCATGGCTTGTCAGTGCACAGGACCCCGGAGCAACGGTCTGAGACAAGACGGCATTGAGTCTTACACGAGCCGGAAGGATTCAATGCCTTAAGTTTTGCATTGCGTTCTTAAGAGGCGTTGCATTCGTTGCATTTAAGCCAAGAGGCGGCATCGCATTCGTTCTGCGTTGGCTCTGAGGCTGAGCTTTTCATGGCGACTTCTAAATACCCACCAGGTGTGCAACATGCCGAAGTGACCCGTGAGGTTTGTGGCACGGGTGTTAAGAAGTAGAAGCCTTGCTAGGGAGATGTAAGCGGGAACGGGCGTGTATCGCTTGGACATGGTGGTTGGCCAGGGCTTCGCTGATGACCCTTCAGCCATTTGACACTGGCGTGAGGCCAGGGCTTGCGGCTTCGCAGTTTTCGACCTTGTTAACTGATCCTGTCGCCGAGGCACCGAGTCGATATTATGGTACCTGGCCAGGCAGGAACGACCAACGGCGTTCTATCCGTTCGTGTTTATTCAATCTGCCGTTTGCACTTGTTGGCCGTAGGAGCTCATGCTTGTCTCTTGAACGCTGGTGCTTGAGGTCCCAATAACTCTTGACGAGTTGGGCGAGGAAGTAGTGGAACGCGAGGCCTGCATTATTCAGCATTCCTCGATGCCAGCAGCTTGGATCCTGATATCTTAATCAGTTCCGCCGCATTTAATCAGGACTGCAAGTCTCTACCTCACGAGTTCTACAAAGGTCGTTTTGATCAAGCTCTGCTGCGATTCAGCAAAGCTTCACTTCGTGCAAACATGTGCTAGGACACACAATGGTGATATTACAAGACTCGCACATGAGAAAGGACAGCATTCGTATTATCCAGCCTGTCTCACGGCATTTGTATCACAACATAGACAGAGGTTCTTTAATCCCTGCCATGGCATGCATTTCCGGGGCCCTTGGCCTCTCATAACGTTCGTGGCCTTCTCGTTGCTGCTGTTGTGGCACAACTTCGATGCAGCCGAACAGTGGAGCGGCCTGAAACCCAGTTGATCTTGAAGAGGTTGCAGGATGCCTTCATTGCTTCATCACGTGTCTCGCACCCGTCAAGGACGAAAAGGAAACCTTGTATTGAATGAGCTGAAAGAAGAGATTGAGAAGCACAGGAAGGAGATTGTTGAGATAGTTGGCGTCTTGGTGTTTGATGCTTTTTGGTTTTCAGATCCTGTTTGCACAGCTGCCGGAGACCGTGCCCTTCCGTACAGGAGATCGCAGATCTTCATCGAGATGTTGAAGATGTCAGGTGCTTCTCCGACCGAGAGAGTGTTTGTGACAAGAATGCCGAAAGGACCCGGCATCAGATCCAGCAGTTTCCAATGTTGAGACCTGTCACACAAAGCCCACGATGTCGATTAGCGGGTATAACGGTATAACCATTTGGGGATTGTGCAACCTACTCTCAATACAACGAAGCCCGCACCTCCATTACCTGCGTCTCGGTGAGTGGGAATAGCAGGCCGACAATGAAATGAAGCTGTATGACTTTAGTAAGAGAGAATGCAAAAAAGTGAAGCCATGAGTATTTATTGAATTCAACAATCTGAAGAGTCTTGAGATGGTTGGCACAAAATGAGCTGACGGAGAGGCGTTCTATGTCGTCAATGGGGTCGCATGAGGACTTGGACGGGGTTGAAGGGATCCCAAGGGACCCACTCGACGGAGCAACATGTCTTTTACAGAATCAATGGAAAAAGGACAGTTTGAAAAAGGACAACCCTGCCCCCTGCCCTTACCTTATTAATTTTTTCATATTGTTTTTCTATTTGGAGAAGCTTTGGTAGGTCCGCCGGTACGAGTGGCTCGGATGCTTCGGCTCCCACTTTTGGGGCTCGGAGGCTTCCTTGAAGAACCTTTCGGTCGTAGCGTCCGATCGCTCCGTTCGTAGTGATGCCCTTTGTTACTAGTAGCAAAATGGAAACTGATTCTAAGGGAAACTCGTGTTCCAAACTCATTCAGTCCTTGACAAGTTGCAAAGGAGATGGCGGAAGATGCTGAAGGGGAAGTGCAGAAAGGCCAATGCAACATCTTTGCTATGTGGAACTACCCAAGTGGACCACCCATGCTTCATGGCAAAGGATTGGTAGTGAGTCCACGCCTAGCACGTGGCCACGAAGCCAAGGTTTATCCAAAAGAATTTGGAATCCTGGGTCCACTATTCCCAGGGACGTTGTCGATTCCCCTGGCTGATCAATGAGACCAACATCAGAGTTACTTGACAGTTGACTTGAACATTCTAAACAGGCCACGGGCCGTAGGAAACATGCAGATTCGGCATTCCAATTGAGAGACCTTACGTACTCCGATGCAAGTTCAAGGTACAGAGTGATCGTTTGGGAAGCTGATCACGCGCAACAGATTCCAACAGATTTCTGGCGCAGAACATTTGCCGTCGCTCCTGAGGAATTCATTCCAGACCTTCCTGCAGAGTACGATCGTATGCCTCCGGATTACGATGCTGCAAAGTCAGATGTGGTCAGGCAATGCGAAATAATGCGAAGTAGCTCAACCATTGAAATTGCAGGTGGGAATTCCTTGACAATGCTTGTATTTGAAGGTATGCCTTGCTGTACCACCACGGAGGCATATACTTGGACACTGCCATGAGCTTAAGAGTCAGTCCACTGACACCGCTGACGATCGCTATAGAGCTGAAATAAGAAGTGGGGAACGCAACGATCTTTCTTGTTTCAATCTGGTCTCTGAGGATTTTCTAGTTGCCCGGGATCTCTCACCTGTACTGGACCGCATCGAAGATCATGATATTGTGTCGTATACCACCACCGGGCAGGCTTGCCATAGAGGGACATTCAGTTGCTCGGCGCATTTAGTTGGCAAGCTACTTTTCCGTGAGCATGGTGCAGAAAGGATTCATCAACTATATGTGAATCACCGGACACCAGATGTGCCTTGGCACTCCAAGGTTCCAACTTCTTGGCAGGACGTAAGGGCAGCAGCGTTTTTGAGGCAATTTGGAATGCGCAGAAGGAGGCAGCGGGGAATCAACATATCAGTGGAGTTTCCGAGTCCATTTTCGACGCTCCAATCAAGTGCAAGGCATTGTCCAACCATTGTGATGACAAGTTGCCTGCAAATGACAGGAAAGTGTCTTGTCAGCAAAGTTATGGCTCTCATCATCTGCATCCGCCACTGTCCCCCATGCTTGAACAAACACATTCTTCAATCAGGGCGCTATCCAGACATCCTTCAAAAGAACATGAACCATGCTCCAGTTCAGAGTTCAGACACAAGGAGATGATGACAAACAACTCGGCATGTGCAAGGCCACTATCGATGCTAAACGTGAAGGAACTTGAGCGTAGCATTCATACAACAATATCACTTGCTCAGCTTTCTGGTTCATTGGTGCTATCTATCTATCTATCTATCTACCTATCTATCCATCTATCTGCATAAACAAAGGTCCACATGAGCTTACCCAATTTCTATTTGCCAATGATCGTCACAATGATCATCACCAATCTCACCACATTCTATTTGATTCTTCTCAGGGGAAGAGGGCTTTGAATTTGAAGCAGGTTCGGGCTCAGGTTTGTTGCTCGGATGACTTGGAACGCCCATGTCACATTCCCTGGGCCGGCATCGGAGAAAACGTGGCGCACCCAGTGCTGCCTGGCATGGAGACTCCTGGCGTTGGGCGAGACGAATGTGTGGTCTCTTTTTCTCTTGGCACTGGGCTGCCTTTTGGTGACTATGACTATACTGTTGTTCTGTGCAGCTTGAGGCTCAAAAACATGTTGATGATGCGGACAGGCATCAAAATCTATTGCTTTGAAGGCAGCTGTGCACAAAGGAATCTAGACTAGACATTTCCTTCTATTCTAGGATCGCTGCTGGATAATTATCAAGAGAAGCACAGCTCGGATTTCTTTGCCAACTGTCAGCTGGCAGGGAAAGATAGCTTCGTCCCTCAGAACTTCTTGGACATTTTGAAGAAGCATCCCAAGCTCGATGATGCAGAACCTTGGCTGCGACCTAGGCTTCAAATTCCATTCACTTGCGACATTTCTTGTATTCGCTCGTGGCACGAACCTGCTCTTCCTACTTTCATTCTTTGATATCGTTTCAGGTTAAAGCTTTCCAACGAAGTGGCGCCGCTCTGGCTAGGAGTTCTCATGCTTTGTTTGTGCTCGGGGCAGCTTGCGGTGCAAAAGAAAAACAAAAAGAAAAGGTCAGGCCTTATTTTTACTCTCCAGCCGGCACAATGGAGTCTTCGGCGACCGAGCTTCCGCGAAGGTCAGTAGCAACCAAGAACAGTACATCAAATGAACAAATCAAAGGGAACACACTAGGAGGCAGGGGTGTCTTTCGCACCCCTGCAGAAGGTTCGACATAGCCCATCAAGAACCTCGTTTTCAAGAAAAACTTCAGCACCCGGGAAGCAGCCTTTGGGGTAGGTCTTGCCGTTATTCTCGTTCTTAAATTACCGTGTCAGTGGGGCCACAACAGGGGGCCTTATTCAAGGGGCCTTTACCTTTTCTTTTGTGCAAACATCTAGGAACCAAAAGATAGTGCGAGCGTGAGCTATCCTGCGTCCTAGCTAGTAGCAGGTTACTCAGTAGTAGCTATGCTACCTAGCCCTTACTTGATTATGTAGGCGCCTACTTAATTGAGTAAGGGTGGGCAA